AGGCCGTGAACCTAACAGCCGAGACCAGTTCCTCTCTCGGCTACAATCGTTTGACTAGGAAGACAGATCAAACAGGCGCACCATTCATCCATCCAACACTCATCGAAACATCAACGCACGGTGAACCGTGCTGGCACGCCCGCGCACAACCGCACCGCACCCAAAAGCAGGAAATCCCGTGTTAACGCATATCCCCTCGGCCCGAAACTCCAGACCGTGAGATTTGCACGGCAGACATATATTTGTGTTGGTATCTATATATAAATATATTATCAAATGCCAAAATCATTCTAAATAAATAAATAATAATAATTCAAAACAATAAAGTTGTTTATTTGATTCGACGAGAGGGAGGAGGGAGAGAGCTGTGGTAGGCCCACAACTGTTTCTTTCTTTTCTCTTTGATGAGGACACGTGGATCATCGTCTTAATTTTTTCCCAAAAATTATAATACAAAAGCCTCAGCGGGTGCCTTCAAAAGTTGACAACCGTACACCATAGCCTTTCTTCTCCAAAAACCCAAGAATTTAACAGTGATGTCGACCCCTCTCAATCCAGACGCCTCTGTTCTTGCAAGCCTAATGGAATCTCACGTCAAGGAACTCGATCTGATCCCAGAACAGTTTCTCCAGAAGAAAGAAGAAATGGTTCCCATACTAGAAAACTGCTTGTCACACTCTTGCCTTGAAGAGGGTCTTGCAGATCAAATTGCTCCCGGTCCGGTCGACTCTGCTTTCATCAAGGACTGCGTGGCGCAGGTTCTGGTGGCCAGCAACAAACGCTTCATCAAAATTGTGCATTGCTACCTGCTTGAAGCTGGCAAGGAGAAACAAGCTGAAGAGTACCTGCAAAAGGTGAGCCCTGCATCTCGGGTAGAACACTTGGAGTCCATCAAGATGTGGAATTACCTTACTCTGCCATTCCAGGTGTTCAAGGTAATGGAAGATATGGGATTAGGCATAAATCCTTCGAGTTTCTTCATGCCTCCAGCACCACCTGAGGTTTTTCCCACTCCGGCACCGGGCTGGAGGCCCGGCCAGGCTATGGCCGACGGTATTTAGAGGCCTAATTGACTGCTTGGTAAATAAATTTGGAGTAATGATAAGAATGTTGATTTGGGTAAATAAATTTTTCTGTAAGAAATTTGTTGATTTGGGTTTACTTGGGTAATGATAAGAATGTTGTATGCGTACATATAATTACGTTTATGTATATGTTTTAGCATCGAGTAATAGAGCATGACAGAGATATAAGAGAGCATTGAGTAAACCGTGGCCAAAAGCATGATTTCTATCTTTGGAGTACTAGTTGGTGTCCAGTACTCGGTCTTTGTAATTCTCTATGTATAGTAAAGAGACTAAACGTAGTTAAGATTAATTGTATGAAATTCTTATGTTGTGATCTGATCTATTTTATTGTTGAAAGATGAATACCTATGTTTCAATCTTGTTTCAGGATGAGGCTGGCATCACCCAGTTATCCTGTTTTCTTTCTTTTTACTTTGAAGAGTACAATCGTCCTTGCGGCATTAGAATGATTCGATATATACTTGCAGTACGTATTAGGAGCTTGGTTATGAGCCATGACTTCATGCAATCCTTTTGCTTAGGTACTTGCTGCACGGGATATGCATCCTTGTTTATGTTTGGACATCTTTTTCACATTGGTTGATCCTCTTATGAATGCTGCTTTGATATAAACTGACGAACCGCCACTTGCACAATTGCACTCTATTTGGTACCTGAGAATGCATTATAAATTTCAGAAAACCAAGATTCACTATAAATTCTAGGAAGCATGATAAGTCCAAACTACAGCATGTACCTTATATCTAGTCATCGGTTGTTTTCTGTTGATGCATGAAGTCCTTGGTTGTATAATTCACACATCTGTATTATAATGATAACATGATACATGTTTAGTTCTGTTTTCTCAGCATGATAATCAATCCTCTCTCTCTCTCTCTCTCTCTCTATATATATATATATATATATATATTGCCCTGTAAGATTGTTTCCATTATCTCCTGAAATTGTCCTTACAAACTGGTTCTAAGCACAAATGTTACCGTCACGTGTTACTATGACATTACATCCAATTCTTTAGGAATCTAGTGCTGATAATCTTTCCATGCTATAGTTGCTTGTCTTTATGGCATGATGTATATGCAAATCACTAATATGTATCTATTTGTGAAAACAGATTAACAATTTCCCCTGCTCGTTTGTAAAACCCAAAAAACCCCCTTCCTATAGCATATTGACTCTATTTCAGAGAAGGGATGCCATGATATTTGACTGCCCATGTCTCAAAAATGCCATGGTATTGGTTTATCTGGTATAAAACCAGATTAAAGATACTGATTGGTATGAATCTTGCAGCTTAATCTGTACATACTAAATACAAAAAATGTTCTATCATTTTCCTTGTTACTTTTGGAAAGTAGAATATCTACCACTCCAAAAGACAAATGCATGCCCCACCCACACCCAAATCCTCCTTAGTGTAGTTTAGTACAGACACTTGTGTTTACGTCTCAAACCCAAACACCCACGAACACAAGTACTTGCTTGTGGCCCCATATTTTATTACCCAAAAAAGAAAGAAAAGCTCTCAAGACAATTTGGGAAAACCCTTTTCCTGTCAGCTCACAAGGCAGTGACAGAAGCCAATGTTAGCAAATACTAAGGTATATATAGCCTATTTCGAAAGGGGGACAAAGCACATATTCTGTAATGAAAAAAAAAGGTTCTTTGCGTCTCTGATATCATATAGCTTTTCATTGAATAAAGCAAAATTCATGCCCAAAAATAAGAAATCCAGACCCTACATCCATAATCTCATTGCGTACTATATTCATAAATGTAAGAATATCCATCATAATATTAATCTTTTGAAAATAATACAACTTTTTCCATCTAAATTGAGTGATTGCAGAACTTACACATTAATTGAATCTGCATTACTGTGAACAGTTTATGAAGAACCCATGAGCCTCTCAGAAGATATCTGCAAACCCAAAAGGTTCAAGCTACACACAGAAGCAAGAGGGTTACAGCAAGTAAAATTCAACAGAATTGTCAGATTCAAAACTCATCAATTCCATGTCAAAAGTTTCACCTCATTGTCATCAGCCATAGGAGCACTAAGATCTTGCTTTGGGCTGGCTGTCTACAACTCCCAGAACGTGAAGCTGGTGTCGAAAACCAACAGCAAGCCAACCACATCCATAATTCCATATGGAGCAACATTTGTGGACGGTGCGGCGTTTGAATGATTTTTAAGATTTCTTACGGATTATATATGAAGGGGCATTTCCGTGATTTTTCCAAAGTACAATGGCCAAATTTGAAATTTTAGAATCTTCACTAAACCGAAATCAGCTTCCCGTTAAGCTGAGCTCCAGTTTCGACGTTTTTCAAAAAGTCGTTAACTTTTGAGTTTAACTTTTTCGGGCAAAATACCAGCTGATCTAGTACTAACGCTAATAGCAGCTGATGAACTAGTTTGTTGGCGTGACTTATAGACCATTGACTTTAGTTTGTCCAATGAGATTGAACCTAGCGCCGCTTCTCTCTCAAATATAAAGAACAACTTAGTTTGTCAAACATAACTGAGTACCCATCTCTTAAAAGCATAGAGATGGAGATTAAGTTCTTAATACAAGCCGAAAAATAAAGACAATCTTTTAATTCCAAAACCTCTCCTAATGGTAGTTTGAGAAGGTAGGTGCCAATAGCTTTAGCAAATATTCTTGTGCCGTTTCCAATACGTAGCACCATTTCTCTCTTCTTCAATTTTCTACTTCCCAGTAGCCCCTGCAAGGAATTGCAAACATGTTGGCTAGCGCCTGAATCAAATATCCAAGTAGAAGAACTAACTGTTAGAACTGATTCAAGAACAAGAATAGTACCTCATGAAGGTTTGTTGTTCAGGCTTGCAAGATATTTCTTGCAGTTCCTCTTCCAGTGCCCATTTTCATTGTTCCCGGTCCGGTCGACTCTGCTTTCATCAAGGACTGCGTGGCGCAGGTTCTGGTGGCCAGCAACAAACGCTTCATCAAAATTGTGCATTGCTACCTGCTTGAAGCTGGCAAGGAGAAACAAGCTGAAGAGTACCTGCAAAAGGTGAGCCCTGCATCTCGGGTAGCCCTTGCCTTTGGTTTTAGGCTTAGGTTTAGTAGAGGAAGAAGAGCCTTTCTCGAAGGCAGCCACAATCCCACTCCCACTTTTCTTTTTGAAAGTCTTTTCAGCTGTGACCAGCATGTGCAGCAACCCAGAAAGAGTTTGGTCCATTTTTCCCATGTTGTAGTTCATAACAAACTGGGAGAACTGGTCTAGAAGATATGGGATTAGGCATAAATCCTTCGAGTTTCTTCATGCCTCCAGCACCACCTGAGGTTTTTCCCACTCCGGCACCGGGCTGGAGGCCCGGCCAGGCTATGGCCGACGGTATTTAGAGGCCTAATTGACTGCTTGGTAAATAAATTTGGAGTAATGATAAGAATGTTGATTTGGGTAAATAAAATGCAAGGATAAAGTCTTGGGCCAATTCCCCATCCAGTGGAGTTCCTAAGTTCTCCAACTGCTCGATGAGTCCAATCATCTTTAATACATGCTGATGGACCGGTGCTCCCTTGACCATCTTGGTCTTCACAAGCTCACAGACAGCACTAAATAGTCTGTTACGTGTACCCTCACCATACAGCTCTTGTATGTTAGCGATCATATCAATTGCACAATCCATGTGCTCATGTTGCTTCTGAAGCTCAGAGTTCATGGAAGCAAGGATGTAACATTTAGCTTGTGTGTCGTCTTGTATGTGCTTAACATATTGAGCACGTTCCTCCTCAGTGACATTATCACTAGGAGGTTGACGAGGAAACGGCTTATCAAGCACGTATGCAATTTTCTCACTGATCAAAACGATCTTGAGATTTCAGAACCATTCCGGGAAATTGTGCCCCTCAAGGCAATGTTTGTCAAGAATTTTGGCGAGCGCGGTTCTAGACATATCTACATAACATACAGAAATTTAAATTAGATTGTTTTTAGAAAGCCAATTTTCTTATGTTGTGATCTGATCTATTTTATTGTTGAAAGATGAATACCTATGTTTCAATCTTGTTTCAGGATGAGGCTGGCATCACCCAGTTATCCTGTTTTCTTTCTTTTTACTTTGAAGAGTACAATCGTCCTTGCGGCATTAGAATGATTCGATATATACTTGCAGTACGTATTAGGAGCTTGGTTATGAGCCATGACTTCACGCAATCCTTTTGCATATGTACTTGCTGCACGGGATATGCATCCTTGTTTATGTTTGGACATCTTTTTCACATTGGTTGATGATCCTCTTATGAATGGTGCTTTGATATAAACTGACGACCTGCCACTTGCACAATTGCACTCTGTTTGGTACCTGAGAATGTATTATAAATTTCAGAAAACCAAGATTCACTATAAATTCTAGGAAGCATGATAAGTCCAAACTACAGCATGTACCTTATATCTAGTCATCGGTTGTTTTCTGTTGATGCATGAAGTCCTTGGTTGTATAATTCACACATCTGTATTATAATGATAACATGATACATGTTTAGTTCTGTTTTCTCAGCATGATAATCAATCCTCTATATATATTGCCCTGTAAGATTGTTTCCATTATCTCCTGAAATTGTCCTTACAAACTGGTTCTAAGCACAAATGTTACCGTCACGTGTTACTATGACATTACATCCAATTCTTTAGGAATCTAGTGCTGATAATCTTTCCATGCTATAGTTGCTTGTCTGTATGGCATGATATACATGCAAATCACTAATGTGTATCCATTTGTGAAAACAGATTAAGCTACAAGGTAACAATTTCCTTCCCTGATGGAATTTCTTACAACACCAAGCATATTTCCTTGGTTGGAAAGGTAGCAACCAGATTCATACTCTTAGAACAACTTCCAAGATTCCCTATATTTGACTGCCCATATCTCAACCATGCATTGTTATTAACTGAAACCTTCCTTTAGCATATTCCCCTGCTCGTTTTTAAAACCCCAAAAAAACCCCTTCCTGTAGCATATTGAGTCTATTTCAGTTGAAAGGTGCAAAAATGCCATGGTATTGGTTTATCTGGTATAAAACCAGATTAAAGATACTGATTGGTATGAATCTTGCAGCTTAATCTGTACATACTAAATACAACTGCTTATCAATATGCCACACAAATGTTCCAAATCGCCATATTTTATCATTTGCCTCGTTACTGTTGGAAAGTAGAATATCTACCATTCCAAAAGACAAATGCATGCCCGACACCCAAATCCTCTTTAGTTTAGTAGAGTACAGACTTTTGTTTATGTCTCAAACCCAAACACCCACGAACACAAGTACTTGCTTGTGGCCCATATTTTATTACCCAAAAAGATAGAAAAGCTCTCAAGACAATTTGGGAAAACCCTTTTCCTGTCAGCTCACAAGGCAGTGACAGAAGCCAATGTTAGCAAATACTCGGGAATATATAGAGCCTATTTGGAAAGGGGGACAAAGCACATACTGTAATGAAAAAAAAGGGTTCTTTGCCTCTTTGATATCATATAGCTTTTCATTGAATAAAGCAAAATTCATGCCCAAAATAAGAAATCTAGACCCTACTTCCATAATTTCATTGCTTACTATATTCATAAATGTAAGATTATCCATCATAAGATTAAAATCTTTTGAAAATTTATTCCAACTTTTTCTATCAAGATTGAGTAATTGCAGAACTTACTCTTTAATTGAAACTGCAGTACTGTGAACAGTTTTGAAGAACCCCTGAGCCGCTCAGATGCTATCTGCAGTGCAAACTATTCAACGCCCAAAAATTTCAAGACATTGCTACACATAGAAGCAAGAGGGTTATAGCAAGTAAAATTCAACAGCATTGTCAGATTCAAATTGCCATTAATTTAATTCCATATCAAATTCTTCACCTCATTGTGGCGGCTGAACCACCGTGATGCTGTGGTTGTTGTATTCAATGTACCAGGCAATTATCATTGTGGCTGGCTGTCTATAAGTCCCAGAACGTGAAGCTGGTTTAGAAAACCAACAGCACGCCAGCCATATTCATAGTTCCATCCGGAGCAACATTTGTGGACGTGGAGGGTGCGGCGTTTGAATGAATTTCAAAAAATAAAATTTCTTTAGGGATTATATATAAAGGGGGCATTTCCGTGGTTTTCCAAAGTACAATGGGCAAAATTGAAATTTCAGAATCTTTGAGATTCATTTTCGACTTTTTTGAAAAGTCATTATTTTCGAGAACGACCACCATGATCATTGAGTTATTACTGGTTCATTGGGTCTTTATTTGCATTTGGTTACCTTGGAATTATAAGTGATTCTTGGTGTTTTTCTTGTTAGATATGTAAATTTAGAACTTTTCAAGAATTATGTGTGGCTTGATGCCTTGAGAATGGTAAGTAGGCAACTTAAGGCAACTTAGGTGCAGTCGCAACGTTAAATACTTTACGCTATATTCTTTTACGTCGAGAATAACTACTATGATTTGATTATGTGGTATTTTGAATTGAGGGTTAAAGACCCACTTTGGATTGATTATTGGTTATGGTTGTGAAAAGGAGGCTGAGACCCATTAGAATTGTTACTAGAGTGTAGTTGACTTATATCTTGTGCTTGCTGAACGATTGGGGTGTAAATTGTGTTTTCTGTGTAGGTGGATTCATTTTAAAGGGAGACTCTGCTGTTTTTCCTATAGAAGTCCAACTCTAAGGTTGTTTTGGAATTAGGGCAAGAATGGCATTTTAGTAATATAGGCCGACATCTTCTAGTTGTCGGACAAACATAGGGTTCGTCGCTGATTCCAAGGAAAAATTCGAGACAAGTCCTGTCAATAATAATTTGAACTATTTTGTAAAATTTTCAACAAAGTCTCATCCCAAGTTATTAGGGCGCATTTTCAAATTTTGGAGAGCTAGCTAGACCGGTTTTCCATAGACAATGCATGCATCACAGAGAGTGAGAGACCAACATTTGTGCTATGTTATTGATCTTGTGCTTTGGTGTTTGCTTCTTTAGCCTTGGTGACGTGTCAAAATGCGCTGAGAAGTAGTGGCAGATCCACCATGGGGTTAATGGAGTCAGACGACCCCATGGCAGCCCTGGAAATTGTGCCCCTCAAGGCAATGTTTGTCAAGAATTTTGGCGAGCGCGGTTCTAGACATATCTACATAACATACAGAAATTTAAATTAGATTGTTTTTAGAAAGCCAATTATTCGGGTCTTTTAAATCAAATGGCACCTCCCACTATTTTTGGCAAATTCCATATCCCTCAAATGGAATCCGAGAGTTTAGTTTCAACTCTTAGTGGGGATGGGAGGCTCACCACCATCAAGCTTGCCAAATCATAATAGAATATTGGTTTGCTTGAATGGTGAAGAGAGAGTACTCTTACCCATTCACATCATGATGTGATTGTACCATTGTACTACACTCACCGTGCCCCGAATGTTATCGTGAGGTACCATTGTACTAGTTAAGTCATGCCCACCATTCCTGTGAGTGTAGGGGTTCAAGCAACACCTCATCATAATAGAATATTGGCATTACTCGTTGCCTACATTCACAACATCAAATGTTTTGAAATGAGCCCTTTCAAAATAAACACATACTTTGTGTTCCCCATATTAGGGTGAAGCACAGTGTATTGGTTATAATTGATGAGGGTCCACAATGGTGGAAGGCCACAAAAAGATATTCAAAATACCTCTCCGTTTATCAACTTAATATTATTATTGGTTGATGAAGTTTTAGGTCTCATCATACAACATCCATTTCAATCTCATTAAAATAAAATTTGGTCCTATCATAACTATTGGTCCAATTTGTTAGTAGCATATGGTACTCCCACTATTTGTTTTAGAAATCAAGGAGTATCTATCACTACTAATGAAAATTTTGCATTCTTGAATTTTGGACATATAGTTATCTTAGGCCCTTAGGATGATTATGGACTTTTAATATTTGATCCAACATGAGCCAAATGTTGGATCTTGGTCTAGGAAGGGTGATTCATTTTAGTTATGTGTTTAACTAATTAAATATGCAATCCTAATCGAGCTTGAGGGCCATCTAACTTGAGCCTTGGACTTCATCTCCTTCTTTCTTCTTCTCCTTTAGCTTACATCATATGAAAAGCAAAGGCATGCAAGCCTTTTAACAATTACATAAGAAAAGAAGAAATGAGAGACATGCAAGCCTCTTTAACAATTACATAAGAAAAGAAAAAGGAGAGACATGCAAGCCTCTTTAACAAAAGAATTAAACCTTATTAATTACAAGCCCAATGAACTAATAAATCACATCTCAAGGTTCAACCCAATTGATAGTTGGCCAATCACATAATTCGATTGCAATTTGGGCCTTAGTCCATAATCATCCTTTCAACTACTTTAATAAAATTAAAATAATTGAACTTTAGAATGCAACTTAAACATTTTTGGGTTTTTAGTATATGGGCCTAGTTCAAAACGTGGGGTTAAGTATGCAATTAATTAAAGACTCAAGGACCAAACCTCAAAGTAAAGTAATTGCATAGAAGTCCAAAACAAATAATATAATTGCATGAGGAATCCAAGAGGATTCCAAGGTGGGGCCGGCCATGTGAAGTGTGTGTGTATATGCGACATGCATGAGAGTGTTGGTTTGTCCCATAAAATGATCAAACAAGCCTTATCAAGTTCCAAGGAAACATTTATAAGACCAAGAGTGTGGTCTCCCATGCAAACAAGTTCCTAGGAAAGGAAGAGGGGATAAGGGAATGTTCTTTCAACCAAGGAAACAATCCCAAAGACCAATGGCACACTAGGCATGCCTATGTCTTGAAGTTCTAATTTTCTAAAAACTAGAGGAGCATGCTTTGACTAGGGGGGCAAGTGGACATGGAATCTTGGATAACCAAGGTCAATGTCTTCATTCAAATCAAGACCAACACAATTTCGAAATTGAATCCCACCAAAATGGATCAAAAACTAGAACACATGCATTCATCCTATGAACTCACAAGAACATTCATATGAACTCAAGAACACACATAACACAAAAATCATATTTTTAAGTGTCAAATTTCGTGGAGATGAAAGGGGCTATCAACATAGAAATTTTACAATGCTCAAGCTAGCATTGAAACATCACAAAAACCCCCAAAATCCAATATGGCCGAAACCCTCTTTTAACCATGTGTTCAAAGTTTAATGCCTTCTCTTAAAACATCTATAACACTTAAAGATGCAAGACTTTTCAAAAAAGAAACAATCAAGGCTTCACAACACCTAACATTTATGCCACAAAGAAATTTTGCCCATATTCATAAACAAAAACCCAAAATGGTACAACTTATCACTTGACCTTGGCTCTAATACCACTTGAAGGAAACCTTTAGAAAATCATGAGTTTCATTTGAACATCAACATAGATAATAAAATCATGGCAACAGGAAGCTTAAGCATGCATCTATGAGTTCAAAAACAAAAACTTTTCCCATGAATCTTTTAAGCCAAGTGATAGTTGTACTACTTTCCTAGAACATACTTCTAGTAAGATTGGAAGGAGGAGTTACCCTTGGTGCGTGCTTTCAACCCTATGATCGAATTCCACCAAAGGTGTTGAAGCTTGAATGGCTCCTTCAAAATCTCCACCTTGTTGTTGAAGCTTGAATGACTCCTTCAAAACTTCAACTTAGGAGGTTCTCCAAAAGTCACCAAAATAGGTAACCTCTAAGTCTCTTCACCAACTAGAGCTTGAGAAGAAGATGATGAGCTTAGTGAGAGGATGATGCTAGTGATCCCTCACTAAGATGGTATGAAAGTGTAGAGAGAGTTTTTGGAAGACTAGAGCTTTCTTTCTCTCTCTTGTTTTTCACTAATGAACCCTTAGGCTTCAAAAAGATGATAGTCATCTTTTACTTGAGTCAACAAGTTGACTCTAGCAACCAAAAGCCCATATGAACGTCAATCCCTTCAAATTGGGCCTCTTGGGCTCAATTTCATTTAAGTTGTCATACAACCCAATCTCCGTGTCCAAAAGGATAAAGCCCAATGAGCCGGGAATTCAAAATTTCCGTTTAAAGCCTATTCCGACATCACGTGTCGTTTAAATTAATTCCATAATTAATTTTGCCTTAACCAATTAACAAAGCTTAATTGATCTCTTCAATTCATCATCTCCATAATGGTTTCTCAAATAACTCAAGTTTAACGGTGTGCGATCCATTAGTTTCTAATTAGCAAGGTCGTGGGCAATTTGAACTCTTCGTAATTGATTGTGAATTAAAACCCCTTTTTAATTCTTCATATTAGTTATGATTATTAGTCCTTAGGGCTTCCGCCATCCATGAGTGACACCTAGCAGTATGTCATGGATATCCAAGCTAAGTAGAATAAGCAGAGAACCTATTCAGTTGGAATTACAATGCAATACGGTCCTTCCCTATTACAATGCTTTTAATCTCATTAATAGGGCATGGTGCATGTCAAACCCCTAATGAGATTGTCACGTCTTATATGATTTGTATTAGTATGACAAAAACATCCTTCTAGGTCATACCGAATACTCTGATAAGAGATTTGCTTAATCATATCTTCCGAGCATTCTCCTTCTTTACTGAAGGATAGAGATTCCATGTAGTACACTCACATGTCTCCATGAGTCAATCGTGAACCCCAACAATGCTTGTACCACATCCGTGATTAGGACATGTCTTTATAGCATCATCAAAGATCCACAACCTTCCCACAAGATAACCACGGTGCCTCAGGTCCAATGACTAATTTGCATTATTGCAACTTGGAGTTTCTTGTTTGACATATAAGTAAAATTTCCATACAAGAAACTTTCGTTTGATCGCGTTCAGTGAACTCATTCTCTATTGAGCACCTACATACTTGTCTTAGTGTCTCCACACGAATGACTTGAGACCAGTCATCCTCCCAATTAAGATGACATAGCATGTACCGGTCTTTCCGGATTGTCAGTGCCCATTTGACAATCCTATGACTAGGAACATTTAGGGCATGAAGATAATAGAGGAAAGGTCTCCTGAATCTAACTTCCTTATATTACTTTCTCTCTATCTCACATCCCTTTGACTTATTGTTTAAGCATGTGTAACTGATAATGAGACATTTCCTAATAAACAATAAACTTTCCCT